TCTCTCTCTCCCCCCCCCCCCCCCCCCCCCGCATCAAAAATTACCAGGTGTTAATGTGAAGGTTCTGTTTCGCCAAAGCCCGTTTCATGTCAGTAACCTATATTATTTATCTCCCCCGTAGGAATTTGAAAAGAGGAAAATGCTGTAAGTGATGGAAGGGAGAGCGGTAACAGTGGCAAAGAGCACGTCCACCTTTTTGTTTCGTCCAGATATAGTCTTTCAACACCACCGTCTTACACGGCCATGTAAAGCCATAACTGTCAATTCCTGTTTCCCACACCCAAATGTTAAGATGGAACGAATGTTAGACTGTATAAGCCTTCTCGGAGAAATAAAATTTCCATTTATTTTGGATCCTATATTGTGTGTTCCTATTATAGTTGTGACCGGCATGCTTTGCTGCACTTTGTCTGAAGAAGCCTGAAAGGGAAACGTTGATACTAATTTCATATTTACTGTGGTACAAGTGGCTTTTAAACCTCCTATATGGACCATAGACTGAAGGAACTTAAAGAAGACCTGAGTTTTTTTTTTTTTTATCAAATTGGCCATTGCAGTGGGGCTTCCCCTGCACTGCAGGGTTTAAAAGAGAACTATGGGGGTAAGTGTTTTTCCCCATAGTTCTCTTTAGGGTCACGGGAGGACATATACTAACCTCCTTCCGTGACCCAAAGCTCAGTATATAGGGAGCTACAGCTCGCAGTATACCGAGACCGCCGCAGCCGGGACGGATCCCGACAATGCTGTCAATCCACCCAGCTGCGTGAGTGACAGCGGGCTCTGCCTATCTAGAGGCAGAGCCAGCTGTACCCGCCCCCTCCCCCGTCCGTTCCTCCAGTCAGTGCTGGAGGGGAGGGGGGATGGAATTCCTGCGGGGAGCGGTGACTGACAGTCACCGCTCACTGCAGGGAGACGAACGGGAAGTGAGCGGATAGGCTGCATGTTTCTGCTCACTTCCCGATCGATAGAACCGACCTGCGGCAGCTTCTTTGTCACAGGTTGGCTCTAGCTATGCGGATGAGTGGAAATCACTCGCCTCATAGTTCTCCTTTTTTAAGTGCTCATTTGGTTTAGGGGTGAAAATAAAGATATACTCACCTGATCCTCAGTCCTGCGGCAATGACCACTCGCCTCTCTCCACCTCTATTACATCGGCATTAGACATGATGATGTCACAGGTCTTTAGACCACCAGGGCTCGGGGGGGAGAGAGCTTGTAAGGACAGGTTTAGCAGCCAGGCAGGGCCAAGAACCGGGTGAGTAGTTCTTCATTTTTGCTCCTAGACCACAACAAGCCCTTAGCACAGGGGTAGCCAAACTCTGGCCCTCCAGCTGTGGTGGAACTACAAATCCCATGAGGCATTGCAAGATTCTCTCAGACATGACTCCTGGAGAGAGATGCATCATGGGATTTGTAGTTTCACAACAGCTGGAGGGCCGGAGTTTGGCTACCCCTGCTTAGCAGTTGCAGTGAAGTCACACTTGCACAGGTCCCTCGCTGTCACTGTTTCTGGGTTCGGGGGATCCCTAATCCAGGTGGTTACTCGGTGGACGATCCCCAAACGTCCCCTTGTGATGACATCACTCCCCTTCTGCATGCTGAGAGGACACTGCCTTTGGACAGCTAAGAGGAAGTGTCCATGTCATGCATGCAGTGACATGGACCCCCGATCAAGGGCCGGGGGAGGATCATTTGATAGTGACATGGACTTAGACACTATAACATTACAGGAGGACCTGGATAAAATAGGGGAGTGGGCATTAATGTGGCAGATGAGGTTTAATGTCGATAAATGCAAAGTAATGCACTTTGGAATTAAAAATAAACAAATGGGTTATACAATTATGGGTATGCCGCTGGGGAAGTCAGAAATGGAGAAGGATTTGGGGGTCATTGTAGACCACAAACTGAAAGGTAGTTTGCAGTGCCAGGCTGCTGTAAACAAAGCTAGCAGGGTCTTGTCCTGTATTAAAAAGGGGATGTATTGCAGGGACAAGTCTATAATTTTGCCACTTTATAGATCATTGGTTCGACCTCATCTGGAGTACGCGGTCCAGTTCTGGTCACCAGTACTAAGAAAAGATGTCCTTGAGTTGGAAAAAGTCCAGCGAAGGGCAACCAAACTAATTAGGGGTATGGAGGACCAGAGCTACGAGACGAGGCTACTAAATTTAAACATGTTCACATTAGAGGTGAGGAGATTAAGGGGGGATATGATTTCCATGTACAAAATGTTTAATGGTGGTAGCAACATTAGCGATAAACTGTTTAAAATTAACTCCGTTACAAAAACTAGAGGCCATCACCTAAAATTGATGGAAAAAAAATTCCAGCACAAGGGGCGAAGGGGGTTCTTCACAGTAAGATCAGTTAGGGTCTGGAACTCACTGCCACAGGCGGTGATTTCAGCAAATAATGTGGAATTGTTCAAGAAACTTTTGGACGATTTCTTAAGGGACCGTAATATACAGGGGTACGGGTACTCCTAGAATGAGATCCTAATAGGTTGGACTTGATGGACTAATGTCTTTATTCAGCCTCAAATACTATGTAACTATGTAACTTGCAGTAAAAAAAAATAAACCACAGGTATTTAGATGGGGTTTTTTTGTTTGTTCTGTCAGCAATCGGTTAAAATGGGTTTGGTTAGTTTTTATTGTGTGTGTACAGGACAGGAAGTGAAGGGAAATCTCTCCAGATATACACAGATGGCAGGACAACACCTGACTGGTTTTAACCCTTCACTATTCTACCTGAAATGGAAAAAATGTTGGCTTTAGTTATACTTTAAAGTACAGCTTTCATTTGAGAAATACATTATATGGGTAAAAGGTTTGTGACCACCTGAATTTGTAATTTCCTAATTCCCATATCCTTGTTGAAAGGGGGAAAAAAAACATCATTTGTTGCAATATTCACCTTTTATCCCAGTGCTGCCCTCACAAAAGTCATTGTGTGTCTTCTGCTTGGCTCTATTCTGCCCAGAGGTCACTGTTGGAAGGAGCACGGAGGAGCATGGGGAAGGTTTTCAGGTAAGGAGAGAGACCTTTTATCTCCTGTGTCCTATTAAGGGACACATGGAAGTCGTATATGTGAAAGACAGCTGCCTGCTTTGGTACATAACAGCTTTAGCAGCACAGAAATAGTATTTATTTTCAGCTGAGTGAGTTAGTTCAACTAAGCTGAGTGGGGGCAGGGCAGGGCAGTCTCTGTTGGGGGTCTTCAAACTTAACATTGAGCTGTCCCCCTGACAGGGAGAGAATATATGTAAATAATGGCGCACACAGCTATCCCTGGCTGGTACGGCTTTACTATTTGCATTCTTGCAAATGCCCGTTCCTCACCAGATCTGTTTCGATAACACATGTCCTCATCTCAAAGCAGCTTAATTGAACTTGCATTAAGAAAGCAGGTACTCCTAAGGTGTCTGCATTTATGTGCAAACTTCTGCTTTTCCTTAAAGTGACATTAAACCCTCAGATTTTTTAACATAAAACAATACTGTAATGTGCGCCTTACTGTAATCCATGGTTGTTTCCCTTCTCTTTGCTGCTCTTCCTTTTAAATCCTCATGTCTTCTCATGCTTGGGGAGAACTTCCCTTTGCAGCTGACTGCCTCTTCCTGTAGTGCTGGATCAGGTTGTGAACCTTCACACAGACACCGTGTATCCATTTCAGAGACAAGGCAGTCTGCTGCAAAACAGAAGTTCTGCCCAGCATGAGAAGACATGAGGATTTAAAAGGAAAAGCAGCAAAGAGAAGGGAAACAACCATGGATTACAGTAAGGCACACATTACAGTATTGGTTTATGTTACAAAATCTGAGGGTTTAATGTCACTAAGTTATAGATGGCCTGCCCTTCTGTAGCACTTGGTCCTTCATCTGTTTCAGTGACCGTAGTGAGCTTCTTAAGGCCTGCCCTGAGATTTCTCGGTAGGAGTTGATGTTTCTGTATTGGAGAACTCCCGGCTTTAGAGCTCCTGGGACACATACGTTGCGCAAAGAGGCCGATTTTAAACTGCTTTGCTATAAAGACAGGTGTACGTCAAAGAAGACACTACACCTTCCATACCTCATTGGCTGTGTAAAACAAGTTAAAGAGCAAGTTTCAGGCAACAAGGAAATCAATTGGTGAACTACTGATGCATTCCAGGAATTGGTTTCGGCTGTTCTCAGATCCAAAAAGTTGGAACAAATAACTTTAAAGCTGGCCATACACTTATAGATTATCGTCAGATTTTCTCTGGTCAGATGGAAAAAGTGCAACAGATTCCTCCATCTACACTAAACTGTGTATGGAGGAATCTCCCACTGGGCCAAGCTTCAGTATCTTGCTAGTCGGCCACGTTGGCTGTCCAAACACCTGAACAATGACTGCATCCAATCCAGATTGTTCCTGTATTTTGAGAAGCAGTGGGGCCGACTAGCAAGATACTGAAGATTAGCCCAGTCGGAGATTCCTCCATCCACACAGTGTAACGTAGATGGAGGAATCTGTTGCACTTTTTCCATCTGACCATAGAAAATCTGCAGATAATCTATAGGTGTATGGCCAGCTTTAGAAGACAAAGAATTTGCATGTCTCCCCGAGGAGTACTACGAGAGACTGAGCGAGCTGAGACACAAGGGCTATGAGGAGCTGCGTAGCTGGGCCCGGCGGAGGCTGCATGAGGTGCTGAGACTCTATATGGGATAGAACTAGAGAGAGGGCATAAGGGCCCCAACATCACTACATAGCTATAGAGATCACTTCCCTGGGGGCCCTGACACCACTACAAAGCTATGTAGCTTTGCAGCACTATGTAGCTGTAGACCTCACTTCACAGGAGGACTCGGGGCCCCAACATCACTACATAGCTATAGAGCTCACTTCATGGGAGGACTGGGGGCTACAGGGGCCATGACACCACTATAGAGCTCGTTTTACAGGAGGAATGGGGGCCACAGGGGCCCTGATACCATTACATAGCTATAGAGCTCACTTCACAGGAGGACTCGGGGCCCTGACACCACTACATAGCTATACAGCTCACTTCACAGGAGGATTGGGGGTCACAGGGGCCCTGACACCAGTATAGAGCTTGTTTTACAGGAGGACTGGGGGACCTGATACCACTATAGAGCGTCACGGGAGAACTGGGGGGGGTCACAGAGGCCCTGACACCACTATAGCGCTTGTTTTGCAGGAGGACTGGGGGACCTGATACCACTATAGAGCATCACAGGAGGACTGTGGGTCACAGGGACCCTGACACCACTATAGCGCTTGTTTTACAGGAGGACTGATAGCCCTGATACCACTTCATAGCTATAGAGCTCACTTCACAGGAGTAGTGGGGGGCCCCAACGTGACTGAG